TGACAACGATTTACGATGTGAACAGATTGTTTTTTCATATTGTCTCTCCTATTTGAATCCCAGACTCTGTGGCTGTTTCTACTTCTGTGTGGTGGTGATAATTGAATGAGGAGATGGAGCAAAAAGGACTCATCTGTTTTGATTTCAGAGTAGGAACATAAATTAATTAGAACCAGGGCTGCCACCTGAACTCAGTAAGTCAGTTTTTAAAAAGATGTCTTTATACATCTTTAAATGAAATATAATAATTTCTAAAGGAAATTACTGGGTTTTAAAAAGGTAAGTTCATATATGCCAATAAATTAATCAAATAATTGTTTTATGTGACTTGTCAAATTTATCTTTGTGTTCTCCTTACAATTCTAGAAAATATCTCTCCAACTTTTGCAGAACTCAGTAACACAAATAAGTACATTTTTAATATATACAATAATTTTTCAGTGGGCCTTTCCTTCAATGGGGACTAATTTTTTCACGTCGCAATGCACAATGATTTATTCATTGGATTTTGTCACTGCGGTTCTTGTTTAAATTTAAAAGCCCCTTACAGATACTCAAGTTTGACATGGATTCTTAATTAACCTTTTTCTCTCTAGGTTGATATGGGGCATTTGCTCCTTTTGGTTGCCTGCATCCAGGTCCCCTTCATGTGACAGCAGTATCCTAAATTCCTTGGAGGAGTTACCACTTTCCCTCGTGGTGTAGTTTGGTAGCAGTGCACACAAATCAAAGTACACTGCCTAACCTTGGGTTGGGCGTTCTGATTCTCTCTCCCTGGACTTCGACAGAATCTGGAAAGCAATTGAGATTCACTCATTTGAGTGGTATTATCCTGATGAAATTGTGTGCTTCTTATTGTCTTGACTCTGCTCCACCATGGTTCCATTCTATTCAAACCTGTTCTCCTGAGTTCTCATCCATTCCATGAGGCCTGAAGTATTCTGCCAATAAATTCTTTATTTCTTAAGATAACCTGTTACTTATACTCTAAGAACTCTTACGTTCTTAAATGTGAATCCAGCCAAAGAAAATATTTCTCAAGGGTTAATACCTTTCAATGGTTCATGTCCTGATTGGAAATGAGTGTCAGTAGTTGTAAGAAGGAGCCCATAACTGAATGCATCTCAATTACGGGCACATATGTCTGTTTTGGACAAACAAGGACTCTTTTATCTGTCAGGCAATTGCTTTGCTCTGGCTTGCTCAGCTATACTCACTAGGGAACTTCAAACTGTAGACTCAGCCTTATGGAGCTACTGACATTTTTGCCAAAGCAGTAGACACTGGGAACAGGAATTAGTCTTGTTGCCCTTAGACTATTCTCCCATGTGCCAATCAAGCTTGTTCTTTCACTTTCATTCTTATCATTCTTTTTTCAGCACATTTGAGCTTCTGCTGGGCTTGTTGATTGGTTTCTCTTCCCGCTGTGGGCCTGAGTTCCTGTTTTGAACACAGCCTATGGGCCTGGAGCCCTAAATACCCTAATTCTGTCAGGTCAGTGTTCTCTCCATTGTGATTTAGCCCAGTGCCTCATAACATGTGATCTTGCCAACTAGCTTCAGATACCATCATTGTATAGATTATACATCTAACCTAGACTTCTCTCATGAGCTCCAGACTCATATATGCAACTATTTATTTGACATATCTATGTACTGATAAGCCTAACAGACTTCTCAAAATTTAACTTCTAAATCTATATTCCTACTTCCTTCTCCTGATCAAATTATTTTTTGTATTTTTCATCACCTATAAAAGTGATAATCTCACCTTTAAGTTCCACAAGCCAAACGTCTTTGGGTTATGTTTATGCACTCTTTTTCTCATACCACAAACATTCTATTCATCAAAAAAGTCATATTAGCTTTGCCTTCAAAATATCTCCAGAATCTGAGCGGTTTCCACCACCACCATTAGTACCACCTTGGTCACCACTGCCAGTTCTTGCCTGGATTGTTCAATCACTTTCTAACTGGTCTCCCAGTTTCCACCTTGCCCTGCTACGTAGCCTATTGTTCATGTGGCTGCCAAAGTAATCCTTTAAACATACAAATCTGATCCTGTTGCTACTTCATTCAAGACCCTGAAATGACTCCACATTTCACTGACCGTAAAAACCAAGGGTTACAATGGCTTCAAGGGTCTGCCAAGAATCAGCCTCCTCTTGCCTTTCTGACGTCTTCAACTAGTCTTCTCCTTGCTCAGTCTACAAGCAAGTGGCCTCCTTGCTGTTTCTCAAACCCATCAAACATACTCTCACTTCAAATTGCCTTGATAATACCCCTACCTGGAAATCTCTTCCTATAGGGTTAGGGTTAAGGGTAGGATTACTTCCCAAAGTAACCTACTTGGCTTACTCCTCTATTTCCTTCAGGTTTCTTCTCATATCACGCCTGATCAGAAGGCCTTCCTTGACCACCTTGTGTAAAATAGCAATCCTCCACCTCCCTAGCACATGCTGTTCCTCACATCCTTGTTGATTTCTTTCCATAGGGTTTACCACCTGAAATATATTTATTACATATTTATTTATTTTTATTGTCTTTTTCCTACCTCTATGAGAGCAGTGATAGTGTCTGTTTCATTTGCTGCTGCTTTGCCAGCACTTATGACCACGTGAGCCAGGTAGTCAATGTCAATTTGTTTTTGAGTAAATCTGTTGGACTAGTGAAAAGGGTCAGGCTAGTCACAAGGAGATTGTTCTGTATAAATCAAGGCTAGAACAATGACTTCATAGTGAGCCAAAAAGACCCATGTCAAGGGGCTTTATTCCCATGTTTTATTCTAGAAGTTTTATGGTTTCTGGTCTTACATGTAAGTCTTTAATCCATTTCAAGTTAATTTTTGCAAGTAGTATAAGATAGGGGTCTAGTTTCATTCTTTTACTTGTGAATATCTAATTTTCCCAGCACCATTTATTGAAGGGACTGCTTTTTCTCCATTGAAAATTCTTGGCTCCCTCATCAAATATTAGTTGACTGTGTATGCATGGGTTTATTTTAGGGCTCTTGATCTTGTTCCATTTGTCTATTTGTCTGTCTCTATGCCAGTACCACACTGTTTTGATTACTATCACTTTATAGTATAGCTTGAGATTAGGAAGTGTGATGCTTCCCTCTTTGTTCTTCTTTTTTAGGATTGCTTTGGCAATTTGGGGTCTTTTGTGGTTCCACATAAATTTAGGGATTGTCTTTTTCTACTTCTGTAAAAAATGTCATTGGAATCTTGTAAAATTTGAACAGACTTATTTCATAATGTTATTTTCAAGTCTTCTCAGATAGCTCTATTATCTTGAGTATTTTGAGTGTGACTGTTTCCCATTTTCACATCTGATGTCTCCCGTGGCAGTGGCTTTCTAGTTTGACCTATAATTTTAGACTGTGAGCTCATCTTCAGTAGAGGTTGCCATCCATGGGAATCCTGTATGAACTGTGAATTGTAGCATCCCCACATAATGGTTCCTATTAGTCTTATCTCATTTGGCCCATTGATATCCCTATTTCCAAACCAGTACTTTCTTTTTCATTTTTTTCCCTTTTTTGGTGAGGAAGATTGTCCCTGAGTTAACATCTATTGCCCATCTTCCTCTTTTTGTTTGAGGAAGATAGTCCCTGAGCAACATCTGTGCCAATTTTCCTCTATTTTATACATAGGTCCCTGCCACAGCATGGCTTTATGAGTGGTGTAGGTCTGTGCTCACATCTGAACCCACAAACCCAGGCCACCAAATTGGAGTGCGCCAAACTGAACCACTATACCACCAGCTGGCCTCCTCTTTTTTAAATCAGGTGTTTGACTTAGAGTTTGCACTGCATGGTCAATGCAAGTCGAGACCTACATTCACACCCAGGGCAGAATTGAATTTCCTCTTTCTCATGAATAATTCCCTTTCTATCCGTGTTCAAGAGCAGGTACCCCACTTCTGTTGTACGTTCCAGAGCCAATGGGAGGAATTGGAATTGGGCCTCCTGCATGAAACCAAAGACAAGAAATATCTGTCCCAATTGAATATTTCTCTTTTTTTCTTTTTGAGCTCACCTATGTATCTTTTACGAAGATATATTTTGTCCAAATACAAATATACATATCAGTGTGTTTGACTTGTGGGGAGAGTGCTTGCTGCTTCTTGTCTGAGAGCCCTCACCTATATTCTTCATCCTTGTGAATGGCATTACTATTAGCCCAAATAACCAAGCTGGTAGAACTTAGAGCTTTCCTGTTGTCTTATTCTTGATGGAGGTCCTTTAGATCTATCTAGTTTACTTTTATCTGTTTTTTTCTTGTCCTCCTCACTGTCTCTGCTGTAGTTCAGGTACTCATCATCTCTTTTGAGGGCTACAGCAACATCCTTCTCACCAGTTTCCATGCTTCTCATCTGCCCTCTTCCAACCATTGCTACCTACCACTAGAGTCATTTTTCTGAATGCAAATCTGATTGTGCTAATAAACCATTTAAACCTATTTATGGTTTCTTTTTTCGCATCGAAAGTTAAGGTATGTTTATTTTGTGGTTTATTGAGTCTTATGTGCTGACGTCTCTTCACATTCATGTTTTTGCAATATCAGAATATTTGCAGTTCCATGGTCTGCCCAACAATATTATGCTTCCATTCCTATACGTGTACCCTTTCCTGCAGTGCCCTTAGACACCACTCTTCCTCTATTTATTTGTTGTACTCTTGTTTGAAAACGCAGTTTAAATATTACATCTTCTGCAAAAATTTCCTGACTTGCCTCAAATCTGACACATGGTAGCCATTCACTTACTTGTTTAATGGCTACATCTCTTAATTTTCCTATATTCAAGCTCAACACATATGATTTCTTCAACCATTCTTTGTATAACAAGTTTTCTCAACCATTTATTATATTTGATACTTTTGTCTTTTGAAAAACTCTAAATTTATTCATCTCTTTAGTTGATACATTCCTAACTAAACACACTATATGGAAAGTTTTCTAATATTGTCAGATTTCACGTCTGTAGCTACTCATTTCATCTCCAGTCTATCAAGTGGCCTTATATATTGTGACTCTCTTAGCCTTGAGGTTCATGGTGGAGGCCTTTGATTTTTTCTTTTTAAGAATTTACTTTTTTTAGAACAGTTTTAGGTTTACAACAAAACTAAGAGTGAGGTACAGAGATGTCTCCACACATGCAGCTTCTCCCCTTTTATCAACATCACTCACCAGAATGGTACATTTTTTTACCAAGGATCAACCTACATTGATACATTATAATTATCCAAAGTCTACAGCTTACCCTAGGGTTCACTCTTGGTGTTGTACAATCTATGGGTTTGGGTAAAAGTATAACGACAGGTATTCATCATTATAACATCATACAGAGTATTTTCACTGCCCTAGAAATCCTCTATGCTCTATTTATTCATCCCTCCCTGGAGGCCTTTTTTAGGACAGGTGAAAGATTAGATCGGTCCAATATGTGGACCTCCCAGAGTGAGATTTTTTGCAAAAAGCGTGAAGGGATACATAAGAATAAAGATGGAAAAGGAATCCACGGGATTTATTGAAGGAATAATGTTCTAGAAATCAATGGGGAGACTCTAGTCCTAATGTTGCCACTAACTCACTAGACGACTCTGGGCAGACAGTAAAATTGCTCTGCATCTCAATTCTCCACTTGATAAAATACAGGCATTAGAATAGAGGATTAATGATGCCTCCGACCTTATTGTACTCTAATTGTTAAATTGCCCAAATTAAATTATTTGTATGATAGGAAAAAATCTTTAAAAATAATAACTGTCATGAACTCTGTAAGAAATAGATAATTTTAAATGGATAAATTCCACTATGGCTAGTAAAATCCTCTAGGAATAAGTCAGAGAATAACATTAGTAGAAAATATTAAGCTAACCATCAAAATATTATTCCCCGTTTAGATACATGGCAAGAAATATAAAGACTTCAACGTACATAAATATCTGACAGAACTATTGAGCTTTATACAAAATCTGTCATATAAATTGCATTTTAAGTGTAACAAACCACCAGTTTTAACAATGGACACTGGCTATATGCTAGTACTAAACCCAGTCAGAGAATAAGCAGTCCACTTCTAACTAATAGACGTTTCCACAAAGTATCTAAGAATAATACGATCTTAAGGACTTGAACAATTTAATCTGAAGAAAAATATTGTAGTATTTATAACAAGTATCTATAAAAGATAAGCAAACATGTTTGCACTCAACATTTATGATAAAACAAAAATTCAAGAAATCCAAGAGGATCTAAATATCATGAGCATGGAATAAAATAGGCTCTGGATTTATAGAAGAAAAACTGCTCCTAAATAATCTCCAGACTCTATTTTATCAATAACAGAAATCTGACTGAGTTGTGAGAGTAGAATTTCTGAATAGAAAAATTCACGTTGCCTGTGAATTGTGTTCTGAAGATGAAAGGAAATATGTAGGAACATAAGGTGTTCCTTTAAGAGTTGTCAGATCATAATAATTGTGTGCCGAGACAGTCATCAGAAATTAATTCTTCTATTAAGAGTTGATTGAAGACACTAACCTAATGTAGGTCCTTTTGAGGAGGCATTGTTAATGGAAGAAAACTAGTAGGAAAAGCCTGAGGGGAAATGAATCCAGTCCAGCATGAAAAAATCTGCACCAGGTTTGAAAAATCACCCCATCCTTCTGTGTAAGTAAGATGCTAAGAAACACAACTACTTTTTGAATCTAAGTCCCTGTGTTTTCCGAGAAGGAGCTGTAAGAGGGGCAGGGGCAGAGATGGCATCCGGGGACTCTGAGGCACCCACTCCCTTCTGAGTCAGACAGAGGTCAGGATCATCCTGGGACCAGACCACCAGCACGGCATCAGAGCGTGTCCTCTAAATGAGATGAAGGCACTTCAGAAAATTAACTACCTTCTCATCTTCTACCTCAGTTTCTCACCGTTCATCTACATAAAAAGTAAGCCTTTTCCATTTATTGATCGTCTGGCACTTTTCTTGACTTTTAAATATTTCTTGCAAATAGTTCATAATGTTGCATGTTCTACAGAAGACAAGGCTTAAAAAAGAAGTAAAAAGAATGTGCCGTGAGGAATTGTCCTGTGTTAAACAACTGAGTGGTACCAGTCAGTGTGAGCAGTTTTCTGATTCTATGATTTCTAGTGAGTATTTAGATATAGAAAATGTTCTTGTTTTTTCTCTTTGAGTGGTGAGCGGGAGACTCAAATAGCCACATAGAAAAGAAAGTGTTGTGTTGTGTTTATACTTTTACAAAACAGATTCGGCACTTTATAATTGATGCCCTTAAAAGGAAGTAAATCATAAGTTATATTGCACTTTATTCCTGATTCTATGTGTCTATCTCCACTTTTAAAGAACTTTGTATTCCAACATTTGCTCTTATAATCAAGGGGATAGTCTCAGTTTTTCCCAAAGGATAATGATTCACAGTGTCTCTTTTGCCAGGGAGAAATGGGCTTCTTTTCTATTGTACGTGCTTCTGTTTTACAAATAAAGATATTATATTCCACAAACATCCCTAAATAAAAACAGGAGTAATGTTTCTGGGATAATCTTGTCAGGTGTGTGGCAGTATGGAAAATCAGAGGAGAGCAAATGGCCTCAGCTGTGTTTAAGAAGGAAAGTAGCTATTGAACGCGTTTAAAATGAAGACAGGCAGAGTGTGTGCTTGTCAGAGGGGCCGTGTGATTTGTGTCCGTTGAATCTGAATATCAATAAGGCAAAGCCTAGAGCAGCTGCTGTTGAACAAGACAACTTGGCATTAGCGCACAGTGTTGTGTAATCTGGGTCACCTTCTGTGGCTGCACCAGCGAGATTGTGACATGTAGGGTTTACAGCTGAGCATATATCACAGGTTGGATGAAAATAGGAGTAGTTGCCATAGCTAGATAGCTAAAGGCAATTACAGACAAACCAAGTCAAACTTTAAATAAACGAACAGTAAAATACCAAATTGCAACACACGCACACATGCGCGTGCATCCACACAGAAACAATTTTTTTTCAGCAATGTATTTGTTGAGAAGACTTGTTATTTAAGTAGTTATCCATCCTTCCTTAAATTTAAGGTGGGCTCCATGCAATAGAAAGTGGGGAAGTAGCATTATGTTGAGATGTGTGGGTGGGAGGAGAAAGGGAGCAAAAGAAATGGTAAGACACAGAAAATGCCAGGTGAAGTGAGTTTAACAAAGAACTTTGTAATTTCAATGTAATATATATTAAAGTTCCCGGTGTTTGCTGCACTTAGCTTTTAAGGAGATGAATATGTAACCTCTAAAGTATACCTCTCTTTTCGTAAGGGTCTCGTAACTATGAACCTGTAATTACATACCAATGATTTGTTTTCTCTCTCTTTGAGTTAGTGATTTTATTAATAGACTCTAAATGAACATTTGTAGTTATTTGATTTATTCTCTAGCACAATATTTTTATTGGTTTAAAAAATAAATTTTGGGCTAGCCCCAGTGGCCTAGCAGTTAAGTTCAGCCTGGTCTGCTTTGGCGGCCTGGGTTCGGTTCCTGGGCACAGACTTACACCACTCATCTGTAGTGGCCATGTTGTGACAGCTGCTCACATACAGAAAAAGAGGAGGATTGGCAGTGGATGTTAGTTCAGGGCAAATCTTCCTTAGCAAAAATAAATAAATAAATAAATTCAAGGCCTCATTCTGTTTAATTTTTAAGCAGGCAGACTTTTATCTGTGTTAATATATTTGTTGGCAAGAGATGATGATATTGCCTTCCTATTCCCCGTCAAAACATTTAGTTTAGAATTTTCTTTTTACCTGACTTTAAAACTTTCCCAACCTGGGCTCAGCCTTCTTTTCCACTATCACCTCTTACTACTCTTGACATAAAGCCTACGTTACAGCCAAATAAGTAAAATAATAGCTAATGGTAAAAATGGCTAATATTGTGTTAACAAGTATATGCTATATTCCATTTAATTCTTGCAACAACCTTCTAAGATAGATACTATTATAATTGTCCACATTTTATAGACTAAGACACAAAGACTCAAATCGTACCTTAGGCTTTGGTGCACATCAGAGAGCTAGAATGTTTGTTTAAGATGCAGCTTCTCCAGTCCACCTTCAGTTACTTAGTATGTCTGGGTGGGTCCTAGGAGCCTGAAATTTAATAGGCTCTCTATTTCAAGTGCAGGTGATCAGAAATTCTGCACCACCCAATAAGTCTTTCTTGAGAACTTTATTGAGAACATTATGATGCTAGGAATCACCGGAATAGTAAAATATAAACATATCTCTCCCTTCAAAGGGATGATTTAGAAGAAAAGGAAAGCAATACAAGCTTTACAAGTTTGTTCCCATTTAATATACATGACCACCCTGTCAAGTAGAATTTGTCATTAATTCCATATTACAGCTGAAGAAATTGAGGCACATAGAGGTTTATGAACTTGCCCAAGGCCATCCTGCTAGTGAATGGCGGGGCTGGAACTGGATTCTGTTCTTATAGCTTATGCGACCTAATTCCCTCAAAGGGATAATGCAGCAGGCTGAGCTTGCTACTCAGAACATAATAAGCACACAGAAAATTTTAGTTATTAGGGTCATATTAGTTGAATGAATCAATGATTCTTCCTCTTGGACTTTGAAATATATTCCCTTAAATTTAAAAGAAAATAGTCACCTCTGGCTCCATACTGTAGTTTTTCATGAAGTGGTGCCTTGCCTCCTCCCAGGGGCATGCCGTTTATGCTGTTGTCCAATGTCCCATGCACTTTATGTCCTTCTGGATGAGTGCCTGTGACGAGGAATATTAGAGAAGGGTTCAGGAAGTGGCATTCATTTCCTGTTCCCGAGCAGGTAGAAATTCGCCTGTACATGGAGATGCAATGAATTTGCTGTTACTCTTCCAATTGTTGTCAGACCTGTTCCACAATTTTGTAGAACTGGTTCTCATGTATGGAATCAATTGGATTTTAATAATTCAAGAAGAACTATTTTTTTCTTTTTGATGTATTAAGAGAGAATGAGACTTTCCTATGGTCCATTATTATGGAACTGCTTAAAATAATGAGAGCTTATACTAAACCTTACAATAAACTCTCTTTGTGACCTTGATATGTGAATCTGTGTGAAGGGCTTTAAAGAAACTATCATATTAGAGCAACCATCAATTAGAAAAGTCATCAATAGCTATATTTCACTAGTCTTTTATAAATTGGGAGGTAAATTGAGTATTTTCTTTGTAAATGTCACATTTAGATTAATTGAAAAGTAATTGTTTTAACTCGTCTTCAAAGCATGGTGATACCATGTAAATAAAATGTGGCTTGACAAAACCATTATTAAAGTTATTTGAATAATTTCAAAGACTTTGGGGGTACCGTCTAATCCTCTAGAACCCATCTGCCATTATTAAATAACTGAATTTGAATAGAAAGATTTTAAAGAATACTTTCTTTTCAAACCAACTAAAGTATAAAGAACAAATAGAATCTATAGAGATAAAATATGATCAGATTAGGGCCAGCCTGGTGGTGTAGTGGTTAAGTTCTCATGCTCCACTTTAGCGACCCAGGGTTTGCCAGTTCAGATCCCAGGTGCAGACCTACACAGCACTCATCAAGCCGTGCTGTGGCAGCGTCCCACATACAAAGTAGAGGAAGACTGGCACAGGTGTTAGCTCGGCAACAATCTTCCTCAAGCAAAAAGAGGACATTGAGGGCTGGTCCGGTGGCACAGAGGTTAAGTGTGCACATTCTACTTTGGCAGCCCGGGGTTCACTGGTTCAGATCCTGGCTGTGGACATGGCACTGCTTGGCAAGCTGTGCTGTGGCAGGTGTTCCACATATAAAAAGTAGAGGAAGATGGGCACGGATGTTGGCTCAGGGCCCATCTTCCTTAGCAGAAAGAGAAGGATCAGCAGATGTTAGCTCAGGGCTAATCTTCCTCAAAAAAAATAAAAACGGAGATTGACAACAGATGTTAGCTCAGGGCCAATCTTCCTCTCCAAGAAAAAAAATATATATATGTATCTATGCATATGTGGTCTGATTAATGCAATCTTAATGCCATTATCAAGAAATAATTGAGTTTGCTCAATAGATCAGAGAAGGTTGATGTTCTTCATTAGGGGTAATCACTCTTCTTTAAAATTCTACATGTGTAGAAACATTTAAAACTTTGATATTCACTGTGGCAATTAATATCCTTACAGCAGCGCATTGTAAAGTGCCTACATAATTTTAGAGTGAGAAAAAAAATCTCTGCTTCTTCATAAATAATTATCTCATCAGCTCACAATAAAATAGTCTCTACTTCTTGATGGTTACTCACTGGTCCCTAAATCATATAGCAGAATTAATTTTAGCTTCTATTTTTTTGATACTTATCTTAAGGTGAATCAGATTTTTGGGGAGAATCACATTCTTTTTTCATCTTTGGAGATTTTCAAAAATTACCATTCATGGTATTACAATACCATATTTTTGAAATTGGAGTGGACAAGAAAAATCACAGTTTTTAGTTTTCTTTTAAATTTTACTGCTGATTTATCAGGAAATCTCTGAGAAGCCCTATTTTCTCCTTTTAGAAAATGAAAATAAGAGCATGACTCTTCTCCATTCACACCATCTCTTTCACATCAGGTTAAGCTTTGCTGTCTATACTTAGATTGCATTTTGCATTTCTCTTCTATGGTATGTATCAAAATTTGAAAATATTGTTTTTGTGGTTGATTTATTTATGTTTTACCTATGAGATTGTAAGTCATGGCTGTAGGAACCATGGGTGTTTCGCTAACTGAAATATCCTAAGTTATAGAGTAGCTACTGCCTAACTCAGGGTAGTCATTCCGGGAATAGTTGTAAAATGAATGAATTAATGATGGAATTTTCATAGCATTTGCTATAAGAATTGAATATCTTCCTTCCACAGGAAATTTTTGCGTTATTTTCTAACTCTTACGTTGT